TCTTTGACCTCAGACCTTGAAATTTTTGTAAAGGTCAAAGGTCAAGGTCATTCAAAATTTGAGAAATTAAGCTCTTTTTATATCTCTTTTGTCTTTCATCATATACTAAATCTCTTTGCATCTTTAATATGTACTCTTCAAACTATTTTAAAGATTTCATACTTGTCCCCTAAGATTTACCCTTTTAAAAGTTATTGCCCCTTTCATTGAAAACCTTGTTATCGCTACTACTCCGAAACCGTAAACCGCAGAGACACGAAACCTTCACTAATGTCTTCAGGGCCTTTAGACACAACTTCAATCTATTCAGTGCGAAAGGATCCGATGACCCCTTATATGAGTTATTGCCCTTTAACATCTTTGCTCTTACTATTCAACCTTATAACTTTGAAACTAAAAGTCGTAGAAGCATGGGGTCAAGTGCAATGTGACCCTTGATTTATGAACTTAAATAATTGTTCAAGGTCAAAGGTCAAGGTCATTTAAATTTTTTTAAAAATTTCATTTTTCCATCTCTCAAGCCATTTCTTGTTTCTTTTGTATAAAAATAAACAATAGAGAGTTAAATATGAAAAATATATGAAATTTAAAGAAGGTGGAAAGACCTCTAATTGTTCGAGAACAATTAGTCTACTAGTTATTATTATTATTATTTTTCCGCCGAATGATTTTTTGTTTCATAAGTTATCGAAAAGATTTAAAGTCCATAAGAATGTACTTCGAAAAAGATTTTTGCAGTTGACCCTTCGTATATGAACTTTGACCCCTCAAGAAGTTATAACCCCTTTCGCAATAAAAGCTTGTTATCGCTACTCCTTCGAAACCTTAAACTTTAGAGATACGAAACCTTCACTAATGTCTTCGACTAATTTAGTAGACTCTTCAATCTTTTCAGAGCGAAAGGTTGCATGAACCCCTTTAATTAGTTATTGCCCCTGAAAGTTTTTGATGGTTACGAATAATTTTTTTTTTTTTAAACGATTAATCGTAGAGACATGGGATCAATGGCATTGGATATCTCAACCTTTGACCTTGAAATTTATATAGAAGTCAAAGGTCAAGGTCATTCAAACTATGAGAAAATTAGCTTTTTTAATATCTCTTTTGTCTTTCAACATATACTGAATATCTTTGCATTTTTAATATGTCCTTCTAAAACTATTTCAAAGATTTCATTCTTGTCCCCCGAGCTTGACCCCTTCAAAAGTTGTCACCCCTTTTGCAACAAAACTTTGTTATCGCTACTCCTCCGAAACCGTAAACCGTAGAGATTCCAAACCTTCATCAGTGTCTTCGACTCATTTAGTACTCTCTTCATTCTATCATTGCGAAAGCATTCTTTGGTCCCTTGTATGAGTTACTGCCCCTGAAAGTTTATGCTACTTACATTTAATGAACTTTTTTTTAAAACGGTGTATCTTAGAGACATGGGACCAACTGCATCGCAATATTTGACCTTTGACCTTGAAATATAGGTCAAGGTCAAAGGTCAAGGTCATTTAAAAACATAAGAAATTCCTTATATATGTGTAAAATATAGCAATTCACCAAATGACCTTGAACTTTGACCTTGACCTTTGACCTTGACTTTGGGACAAATGGAAAAGTAAGGACATGCATTCAGCTCCAGTATCAGGTAAAAACTTAGAAAGTAAAGATTTCTTGGTTTTTTTTTTGTTTTTTTTTTTTGTTTTGTTTTTTTTGTAATGACCTTGACCTTTGAACCTGACCTTTGACCTTGACCCAAAGGTCACAATAAGGCTTAAGGATGTGGAAGTAGTTACAATTCTTAGTTTAAAAGAGGCATAAAATAAATAATTCACCCCCCCTTCTTAAAAACAAAAAAAAATCACATCAACAACAACGTAGAATATTACTCTAGAATTCAAACCAGACCTCGGATCGACACCAAATTCGGTTTAAAATGTAGTATTGACCTCAGAGAAACTTTCTGGACAGTTTTACGGTGAGTCTTATAAGTTTATAGAAGTCATGAAGTTTCACGGCAAAAACTACAAGTTCTGTTGTGTTTGAAATTTAAGTGCAGGTGAACGAAGAAATGATCTAAACCTTTTATCGGCTATTTCTTCAGATGTCGTTAGTAGCATTCAATTCTCCTGATATGATACGATATTTTAATATCAAGCATTCTCTCTTTCTTTTACATTTGGAATTTATTTGATTTTTATTTAGAATTAATCAGTTTCCAGAAATAGCGATTTTCGGTATATAAAAAAACAATTCTCGCTTTCATTGTCGTGTTTCCCTTCTAAAGATGCATGCTGGGAGTTTAATTTGTGCTACACATATTTAATTTAACCCAAAGAAATGCTTATTTAAATGTTTCATATTTATTTCAGGATATTCAGTCAGAAATGTTAAAATCCGAACCCGATCTTTTAAGCTTACAACAAAGCTATTTACAAAAAATTCAGCATGCTCACAATATCCATGAATCGGGCTACAGTCCATTAATACATTTTCATTAGGGAACAGTGTTAACATTTTCTCACGCAGCCCGTCCCTTGTTATTTTATATACTGCTTGCAAGTTCAGGAACTATTTCCTTTTACGGAACTTCTTTCTTCCCCTACCGATTCTAAAAATACGCTTGCATTTCTTCTATAGTCTTAAACAATTAACTTATGTATGTTATCGGAATGTGTGGCCGAATGGTTAGCGCACCTACCTTTCAATCCAAGGGTTTTGAGTTCGAGCCCAGCTGGAGGAGCATATTTTTTTTTTTTTTTTTTTTTTTTTCACTTTTTGCATTTTTCTTCTTTTTTTTTCAGCTCAGATGACACGGAAACACTTAAAAAGGTGGAAAGGCCTCTAATTGTTCTCTGAACAATTAGTTTACTAGTTATTATTATTATTATTTTTCTTCCCGGACTTTTGAAACCGCAAGACTTATCGAAAAACTTTATAGTTCATGACACTGGATATTAAAAGTTATTCCGAAAAACGACCCCCCGTGTTTGACCTATGACCTCTTACAAAGTTATTGCCCCTTTCGCAAGAACAGCTTGTTATCGCTACTCCTTCGAAACCGTAAACCGTAGAGATACAGGACCTTCACCAATGTCTTCGACTACTTGAGAGGACCTTTCAGTTTATTCATTGCGAAATGATTTGTCGATCCCTTCAATGAGTTACTGCCCCTGAAAGTTTATGAAGTTTACGTATAATGAAAAATTTTTAAAACGATAAGTCGTAGAGACATGGAACCAACTGTATTAGATTCTTTGACCTCAGACCTTAAAATTTTTGTCAAGGTCAAAGGTCAAGGTCATTCAAAATATGAGAAATTAAGCTCTTTTTATATCTCTTTTGTCTTTCAACCTATACTATATATCTTTGCATCTTTGATATGTCCTCTTAAAACTATTTCACAGATTTTATACATGTCCCCTAAGATTAACCCCTTTAAAAGTTATTGCCCCTTTCACTAAAAACCTTGTTATCGCTACTCCTTCGAAACCGTAAACTGTACAGACACCAACCCTTCACTAATGTCTTAAGGGTCTTTAGACACAACTTCAATCTATTCAGTGTGAAAGGATCTGACGATCCCTTATATCAGTTATCGCCCTTTAACGTCTTTGCGCTCATTATTAATCCTTATAACTTTAAAACTAAAAGTCGTAGAAGCATGGGGTAAAGTGCAATGTGACCCTTGACCTTTCACCTTTAATATTTGTTCAAGGTCAAAGGTCAAGGTCATTTCAAAATCTTGAAAACTTTCATTTTTTCTATCTTTCAAGCCATTTATGAATTCTTTTTGTATAAAAATTAACTTTAGAGAGTAAAATATGAAAAATATATGAAATTTAAAGAAGGTGGAAAGACCTCTAATTGTTCGAGAACAATTAGTCTCCTAGTTAATTCTGGATTTCTTTGAACTCTTAAAAGCGTTACCATGAATTTAGACAACCAAAAGTAATTACATAGCATTCTTAAAAATCGCATCGAAAGAGCATATTACTTTAAGACGAAAATATGTCACTTCTTTAAGCCTTAAATTATTTTCCGTTAATATTTGCTTTGATTTCTAAAATTGAATAAATTAGGTGGATTAAATTGAGAGAAAAAAATAACAATATGTATTAGAATTGTACCTTTTAAGTGAATTAATTATATTAACTTATAAACTACTGTGATTTTTTTTTAGAATGATGGCTCAACCAGATTTGCACTGCCTATATCGTCAAGAGGGGGAATAGTTGTTAGCACTTATTTAGATTTTGAATATGTTCAATCATATAACCTCACAATAACTGCGTCTGTAAGTGTCATATTTCTGATTATTTCATAAAATTATTATCAGAATGTAGTTATATATTTGGAGCTAATATAACCGCTTTAATTTTTCTATATTGTATATTTTTGCAGTTCCTTCCATTATAACTTAACTATTAGGACCTAGCATGTAATTTATATGCAAAACTATTGTTCCATATTACATCTCAAATCCAGAGGCATTGCAGTAAACAGAATTTGGTTAAAAGAATTTTTGTGATGTATGATATCCATCATATTTTTCTCGACTGGGCTGAAGTTGAAATTTTGCTTCATGTACTTTTAATGAAGATTTTAATTTTTTGTGGTTTTATCATCATTCAGGACAAAGCCAGCAATATTACAGACAGAAAACAAACTACTACCACCATCACAATTACTATAAATGACGTGGATGATTTAGGACCCAGATTTGTGTATTCTTCCTGCTTTAATGTCAACAATGTTTGTTTTAACCCATCTTATACAACAAGTATCTCATCTGGGTCAATGGTTAGTTTTTGAACAATTGGGTATATATAACAGTAGTTTCTTACAATGTAAAGCAGAATACTAGCACACTTTTTAACTTATTCCTAAAAGGCTAGTATATTCCACCCAATAGTACAAATTGTTGGATATGAATTGATGAATAAAGAATATAAATTGTTTTTCATCATATAAAACATTCTTCATTTGTATATGACATTCTACATTTTTAGGCTGGCACACTTGTATTTAACCCAGTACCTGTGGATTCTGGAAATCCCAATGCAGCGGTTGATATCATTGCAGAGGACGGGGACACTCTTAATGCTCCGATCACCTTTACAATACGACAAAGTCAGTACACAGTTATTTGACTTTTGTATTTTGGATAATATTTTATTTTTGTTTAACATATTTTTTTCACAATTTGTCAAGGGGATTGGACATCACCTGATGGTACTTATATAATCTTAGAAAACTGCTTTTTCCAGCAATAACCTGACTATAAGAGTAATTGAAACTGATACATAAATTGCTTTGGTATACACAGATTTATCCTTAGCAAGAACCAAAAAATCCCAGGTTTTTCATGAAGTGTTATGACTTTTAAGTGGGTCATCTTGGTAGTTTTAATACTTAAAGTACATAAACAGATAAAATCAGAATTGAAATAGTCTATTTATCGGAAATTTGTTTACGACAATAATATCTCAACTCTTTTTATTTCAGAGGTGTTTTGTCCTTTATTTATTGTATATTACTTATTTATTTATTTCTTTATTTATTCATTCATTTATTTCATTTATTATTTTATTTATTTATTTATTTATTTTTGCCTATTGATATTTGATATTTGTATTTTTGTCAGCCTTGCCATCTGGGTACCAAAACAGATTCCAAGTGACCACTCAAAAAGTTTCTGGCTCAGCAAACCGATATCGAACCCTTGTAAGCCAGACGGCATCCATTGATAGATCAGAAGTAACTGAGCTGGAACTTTTCATTGAGGTTTGTTTGAGCTGTTTTACTGTGTCTTATTTCTGTGCAGATTTCTAGAAATATTTAGAAACTTACTGGTATTCTGTTTTAAACAGGCTAAAGAAAATTTAGCTCACCGGTACTATGACAGAGCTACAATAAAGTTGTCCTTTGCTGAAATCAATACTGGTAACCAAACTTCTTCAGATTGCAACAACAATTCCCCAATATTTTCTGCCCCTGTATACTTCGTAAACATTTTGGAGGGGAATTATACCGAGAACCACCAATGTATACTGATGGTAAATAACATACTTATTTTTCCTTATTTTCCTTTACTATCTAATTGTCATTCTTCATTTGTTCTTCTATATGAAAACAATGTTTGTTTGATTATTGACTGTCTGATATGTGTTACAATAAGTTACTTGGCAGAGACGGATTTTATTTCGCTGTTTGATCTTATTTTCATTTGTTGTTTATATGTTTTGGATTGATTTGTTGAGGTCACTTTATGACTTCATGAAGCTAGAGTGGTAGATTTATCAACTTTTATTTAGATATTCTTTCTGTGTGAAATGCATTTAAATCAAATTTAAAAAAAATATCTGCAATCCTTTAGCCCTATATATTCAGATTTCAGCCACAGATGAGGATTTGGATGGCATTGATTATGATATTCAGAGTGTTTCAAACAAAGGTGACAGGGTGTTCTCTCTGGAATCAAATATAGAAGGCAAGGCTGTCATTACATGTGTTGGTTCTATAGCTAAGGGACTGTCCTTCGGCATTGTAGTACGTGCAACTGACCGTGTATTACCGATATCAAGGAGAAGGTAATAGTCATTTTAAAAATCAGGTCTTTAAATAAGCTCTCTGTATCAATAAAGTTAAATGAAATACCTGTCACCTTATTTCAAATAAACCTCATACGTTTTTAAAAATTATTTTTTTTTTCTCTAGAAAATAACACTAATTAAGCTGAAATGCAGTTAATTAAAGTGGTGACTTATTTTGTATTCCCAACTATCTCCTCTATCCTTACAAATGCAATATAGATTTTTATAAACAATATATTCATAAACATTCATCTTTTAGCAGTACCGTTTTTCTTATTGCAATCATCCGTAAACAATGAGATCAGGGAGATGCATAAAAATGTTGTTTTAGATTCAATTTATTTTGTATTGAATTTGTGTACCTTTTCTTCTCATTTTCAAAGTTTACTTAACGTCCTCAAAATTTCTTAAAATATTTTCTTCAACATTTCATGAAAGAAAAAAATGCCTCCTGGCGTAATAGTTTGCATCCACGCATCCTATAAGAAAATAAATTGTCAATATTGCAGAAGTTCCTCTGTCCAAATTGAAGTAAATGTTGGTCCTTTTGGAGCGTATTCAACTTCTAGTAAAGCAGTAACTGTTCGAATTTCATATTCATTTATGATATTAATAGTAAGTATTGAAAAATTTTCAGTTTTACAGCTTCATTTTATAGTTTTATTTTTCTAAAAATACATAACATTGAGAGTACTTAATATATAACTCTCTCTCTCTCTCTCTCTCTCTCTCTCTCTCTCTCTCTCAAATGATTTAAAAAATCTAAAGTTTTAAGGATGTCAGTATCTTTAAAAATACATCTCTTATCTTTTTTTTTAAATTTTGTTTTCTCTTTGTTCCAACATATTTCTAATTTCATTTCATATACCAGTATACTTTTTTAAAAACAAAAATGCAGTGTGAATAGGTTTCCAAAGGTTTGTTAGCTATTAATTTTTAATCATGATTGTTTTCACCAAACTAAAAGTACTACGAAATCAACAACGAAATAAGAATAATTTCAATAATTAGATCACATGAGCCAAAGGCTCAAGTGAACTTTCCTGATCGAAATTTGTCCGCTGTCTGTTGTTGTCGTCGTCTGCGTTGGCGTTGTCATTGTCGTAAACTTCTTACATTTTCATCTTCTTCTCCAGGCTCACTGGGCCAATTTTAACCAGAGTATCCTTGGTAAAGGGAATTTAAGTTTGTTAATATGAAGGGCTACACACTCTTCCAAGGGGAGATAATTAAGAAAGAGTGAAAAATGGGTTCTTATTAAGAACCATTTGGCCAGAAAAAGTGCAACTTGCATGAAACCTGTAGTGTTGATTCAATTTTGTTCAAACCATGACCCCCGGGGGAAGGGGGAAGCCACTTTGCGCGATCAAAGTTTTACATAGGAATACTTAAGAAAACTTTTGAAAATTATTCTCCTTATCAGCAGAATCATGAGTCATCATATTTATATGGAAGCGTCCTCAGGAAGTGTAGATTCAAAGTTGTTCAAATCATGACCCCGGGGGTAGGATGGGGGCACTATGGGCAATCAAAGTTTTACATAGGAATGCATAGGAAAAAACAGCAAAGTCATGATTAGTAATATTGGTATGGAAACATCCTCAGGTAAAGTAGACTCAAGTTTGTTCAAATCATGACCCCTGAGGGTAGGGTGGGGCCATGATCAAATTTCAAATAGGAATATATAGGAAAAATCTTTTAGGGAACAGCACAGCCATGACTAGTCATATTTATATAGAAGTATCCTCAGATTCAAGTTTGTTCAGATCATGACACCTGGGGTAGGGTGGGGCTGGGGGTAGGGTGGGACCACAAAATATTATAATATCTTAATTTTACATAAGAATATATAGGGAAAAAATCTTATGACGAACAGATGGGCCATAGTTACTCAGGTGAGCATTGTGGCCAATTGGCCTCTTGTTCACATTTCTCATGGAATAAGAAAATCTAGTGTATCTCATATAACTTCAATTATACTTAAAAGCGTAGATCAGGTCAGGACGATTTCCATATAAGGAAGTCAATAACAATGACCGTCACTTGCTATAAATACTAAGAATAAACAAAAAGCTAATGCTTCTGACAAATCAGATAACGGCATTTAGACAAACCCATGAGAAAATAAATAAAACATGTGGTTTTAAACTTTTTGGCTCAAAAGATTTTTAAAGAAGAAACTTTTTGTAAACTTTTGCATATTTAGGAATAATACAGCATATATAACAATTCTACCGTAAACAAACACGACTTGAAAAGCTTAAAATAAATTTTAAGTGGGATTAATATCTGTCACTTTGAGGTAGCAACCCCAGTTGGTTAAATTGCGTTAATAAATTTGATATGAATACCTCAGCTTTTCAGTTTTTAAAGCCAGGCATGAAGATATTGTGGTATTGAGGATATAACAGTCATTAGTGTTTCCATTGTATATCAAAATCATGCAGTTATTGGTTTGCCTGGTAAGATATGATGATAAAAACATTCATCCTTATTCCCTTTCTCTCATATTTTACACCTTTCCTTTTTGTATAGTGTATATATAACATGGTATTCAGCCTGCACTTGTGAAACCTATAATATTTTAAAACTAGTCTATACGATGAACACTTGCGTGCTGTAGATCTATACGCATGGAAAGTTCACGTTTTTGAAGAAAATCGGACGGCTAAGCAAAATGTTTATATTTACCAACATAGAACATTTTCAGTAAACTTTATAATTGTAATTGATTTAATGATGTCATCTAGATTGCATTATGTTACACAGCTACATGCACTAATTTTTTCCTGAGATTAAAATGTCAAGTTTGTTCACGGTAAATACCTTATTCTTCAAAAATCATTTCATCTTACTAAAGATATTTTGTCAAAAAATCTTTTTGAGGATGAGAAGACAAAAGCACGTGTTCTCTTTGTTTCTTTGAAATCTGTTTTTGGTGTGTGTAAAAATGCTGTTTTCTGATTGGGTAAAAAATATCTACGTTTACATGAAGTATATTTAGAGCGACTTTCAGTTATCGTTCTTGACTTCCATTTTTGAAATCGTCCAGACCTCCAGATACAATTATTTTCAACAAGTAGAAGTGCACATCATTAACGTTTACAACAGAATATTCATTCTTTATTTTCTTGAAGTTCAAAGTTATAAAGTTGACTTTCAGACTCAGCAACTTAAGGCGTATAAGCGATGCATGTGCAGCCTATAATCGCAGTTTTTCAGCACTGCAATGAGGGATGCTTCTCCAAACTTCTGTTCTCTCAGTCTACTAATTTTTTCTTCAATTACCTGATTTTTCTTATTATATGTTTGCATTTTAATCACAAATTTGATCACTTTTAAGAAATCGTAAGTTTTAAAGCATAAAAGATTATGTGGCCTAGCTTTCTTTGATGGTATGTTATATATTTGAATACATGGTAATATCCACGTGTTCCAATCTATAAGCAAAAAAATACAGTTTCTTATATTTACATTCTAAATTATTAGAAGAATTTTTGTACCAACATTCACTCAACATGTACATTTAGATCATACGTCATATGGCCTGTAAGAGCTAACGCACTTCAAAATCTCTCAGCATCATTTAATATCTTTTAGATAAATTTACATGTATTCCTCTTTCAGTTCCTAAAGCTTTCTGTGCCTCGGGAAGGATAAAGACATTTACCTGTAAAAAAAAAAGGTATCTTTAACATGTTTCATGTACATAAATATTCAGGTATTGTTGAAAATCATTATATAATGATTATATAAAGTCCCGTTTACATGCGCCCATTTACAATTTTCGCAGTGCGTTCATATGTACTTGCAAGCTGTGTGCAAATCGGTAGGTACTAATTTGGCAATTTCCAAGCCCTCTAGAAAAACTTGGATTTTTTTAAAACTCTTTATTCTCCCCAATGTACTAAAACGAACAATTCTTTCTTCATTAGTCTATGCAGTTCCCCTTCTCCTCTCCATTACTTGTTCAATAACTTCTTTAAACAGTATTATACAATTATTGCTGGGGGGTTTTTAAGTCAATACTATGATTTAGCTTCCTGAGGAGTAAATATTCACCGAGTCCGAAGGGCGATGTGAACATTGAAGGTGGTAAAATCATCGTATTGACCCCCAAAAACATGATTAGTTGGGGTTTTTTTATATTTGATTCAATGATTAAATGATACAAAATTTTTCAGCAATCCATGCCATCTAAGAAATTTACATTTCCTGAAATCCTAGCCAAACGCAATGACAGAAGCGGGATTAAAATAAACATAAAAAGTTGTATTAAAATGGAATTTTAAAATCTATTTTAGGTGCGGTGTAGGAAAAATAAATGTCAGGCACGTAAATAGAATCGATTTTGAAGGGGGAGGGGGCATAAGGATAAATAAATTGACAACTTACCTGGAAAAAAATCTTTGACTAGCCACCCCAAAAAAGGAGAATTCTCCAAACTCCAAATTTTATTCGAGGGGGGATATCGTCCATTAACGGTGGACCAACCTTTGCATGAACATTTATATACTCAATTAAATGTAAAAAAAAAAAAAAAAAGAAAAAGAAAAGAAAGATGTGTTTATGAAACACTGATGCCCCCGTATGGCATCTTATAGCGAAGATTAAACTTTCTCAAATGCAAATCAAATATGTTGGTACCCAAAGTAAGGTCTTGTCCCGAGGAATATACCTGTGAAATATGAAAGCCCTAGCAGCAACCATTGAAAAGATATGGAAAATGTTAAAGTTTTTCAATAGAAAGTCAAACATCAAGGTCAAGGTCAAATGGTCAAAATTAATGGTGACCAAGGAAAGGCCTTCTCACAAGAAATACACATGTGAAATATGACAACCCTAACAGAAACCGTTCAAAAGATATAGCCAAGGTTAATGTTTTCCAAAAGTAGGTCAAACTCCAAGGTCAAGGCAAAAGGGCTATAAATGTTGGTATCCGAAGGAAGGTCTTGTCACAAGAATTACATATGTGAAGTATGAAAGCCGTAGCACCA